AAAAAAATTCGTTATAAAAAAAATCCGTTATATCGAGAGGCATTTTTATATAAGAAATTCACACACTTTACTTCGTACTACGTTATACGGTAAATAAATAGTAAACTTCGTTATATCAAGGTTTTTTTCATATTTAAAATCGGTACCACACTGTATGATCCGTTATATCGTGTTATTCGCTATATTGAGGTTCGCTATAGAGAGGGGTGACTGTATTAAAATTCAAAGTTAAAGAACTCCGCATCCAGTGATTCGAGTTTTATGATCTTTATACGGTTGGATTCAGCTCATCGAGAGGATTCCAATGATATGTATTTCATATCTGTAGCATCAATATTGACGGAGTTATTCATGTTTAAAATTTTATATTAAATTATAATTATAAAAATCACATAACTGTGATGTAATTTCGACCATTTCGACTTTAATTTCGACTTTTGACCTTCCCAAATCGAAATATTTCTACTTTTGGGCTTTAATTTTGACTTTATGTATAGTCAAATCTCTTAGTAGAGTTCAGTAAAGAAAAATTTTTTTATATACTGAACCCCTAAGTTTTTTCAGAGAAAGTTCAATATATAAAGAAAATCATGTGATTAATATTCCAATTTCAACTAGAATTAAGATATCTCAGCATCAATTAATTTAAGTAAAAATTAAATAGTTATAATTCTAGCTGAAATTAATTAATTTCAGGCAAAATTGGCAAATCATGTGACTAAGTTCAGTATATCAAAAATTTTTTTATTATGTTTTATAATAAGGCCATACAAACTTGATTTTATGGTTTTCATAATACAAAAATTTCATCAATAACCCGGCAATCCGGCTTTTAATTTTTTTTTTCAAAAATTTTATATGCGAAATTTTTTTTCAATTTTTAAAAAATTCTCACCCGGCATAGTAATAATATAAAAAAATTTTTTTTTAAGACTTAACAAAACTGACCCGGCCGGACTATGAAAACCATTTTTACCACTTTGTGTCGCCTAAGTGGTAAATCAATAAAAGTTCAAAATACGTTATATAAAGTTGTATACATATGGGCTAATCTGACTCACCAACCAAATGTCACATGAAAATAAGTGTAACAATATCGAACCAATCGAATTTAGTGTAATAAGTGAAAAAAAATCAAAAAAAAATATTTTGAACGCTTCTTTTATATAATAAAACCATTATAAAATACTGTCAAAAATAAAGAATAACCCTTAAAAATATGCTGTTTATTATATAAATACATATAATATATAATAATTACAATAATTATTAAACAATAATGCCTAAAAAATAAAAATAAACCTATTAATATATTTAAAAAAAGTTTTACAGCGTAAACTGCTGTTTAAAATGCCTTAATAAATGTAATAATATGCAAATAATGTTATAAAAATAAAGCATATTATACTAACTTTAACATGTCACATATTTACAACATCCAATAGGAAAACGATTCTCCAACGATTTTCCACCATATTGTTTTTTTGTAGAAAGCTTATCTAAGTTTAATTATTTGCAGATCATCACAAATTTCATATATATTCCTCAATTATATCACCTGATTATTAATTAATGAAATAAGTCAGATCGGCCAATATGAATGTTCAATATATTAAGATATTTTTAAATATTATAAAACTGGTTTTTTAAAAAAAGTTTAGTAAGTCAAAAGTTTATTATATCATAAGTTCATTATATCGAGACTAGACTGTAATTTAACTGTATTTTTTTTAAATTTAATATTTATTGAAATATAATAATATTTATTTAAAAATATTTAGAATTCTATTATAATCAGTATAATTAAGTATTTACTTTAATTGGATATTTGAATATTCAATTGAATATAATATATGTATAAGTTTAAATATATGAGGTTTTTGCAATAGAAAGGTATGAAACTCAAAAAAAATTAAAAATTGAATTAATATTAAATTTGCATTTATTTCAGTAAAAAAAAACATAATTAGCATATAAAGTAAAATTAAAATTTTTTTTGAATTTCATACTTTTTTATTGCAAAGACCTCATATAGTTAACTTTCTTTATAATCACTTTTGTTTTAATTGTATTTTACTATATAATTATACCAGTTAGATGTTCAAAATATTTTATTATTAAAACTATCCTATATAATTACAATCTATCTATAGTTACTATTACACATATTTTTAAAAATCTTATATTAAAAAAATATTGTTTATGGTCATAATTATGTATAAAAAATATAATAAATTACTTAGCATCTAATGATTACAAAAGTATGTAATACAGTTTATTAGAATTATCTTACTAAGATAAATCAAATAGTGGTAATTTTATCTTTCTACAATTACTGGCTAATAAACTATTTAACAAAATGTCAAAAATAGGTATTTTAATATTTCTCAGTATTTAGTAATTGTAAAATGATGATTAATAACTCTTTGGAATCATATAATCAAGATAAATCAAATGGTACTAAAATCAACTTTTTTAAATATGATAGATCATAAGTTATGTAAAAAATATTAAAATAATAAATTATAAATAACTTGCAATCTATCACATCTAAAATAATGATCTTAGTATCATTTAATTCATTTTAATTAAATGATTCTAAAGAGTTATTAACTATTATTTTACAATTACTAGATACTAAACAATTAAGCAAAATGTTTAATGGCATTATAATTCTAGATATCAGAAAAATCATGTAATATGGATAAATAATATACTGATAAAGATATAGATAAATAATTAACTGAAAGATAAATAATTAACTAAAAAATAAATAATTAGTTGAAAAATAAATAATATATCAAGAAATTGAAAAATAAAATATTAGTTATGTGATATAATATAGTAATAAATAGTACAAGTATTTTATAGTAATACAGTCGGCTCTCGTTATAACGAATTTTGATATAACGAATTATTTGGTATAACGAATTTTTAGTGTTGTACCAATTTTAACATATAAAAAAAAATTTGCTATAATGAATATTACTAATTAAATGCTGTATACTGTTTAACGAAGTAAGTCTATAAACTGTACATAATAAAATGACTCTTTTTATACCGAATTTCTTTTTATAATGAACTTTTTTTAATACAATGAAGATATTTTGTGTAACATACGTTGTACATAACATAAGAAATCATAATATACCACAATATACCAAAGTTTCATATGTTATACCAGATTTTCCCATTATATCGAAATTCGCTATATTTTATTAACGAATTTTCTTATAACGAAGGCCTGATTGGCCAAACCACCAACTTCGTTATATCGAGAGCCGACTGTATTTATTTATAATTTAGTTATTTATAATTATCTATATTTATATTAATTAATATTAGTTTAAATTAGTTAAATAGTTTATTATTGTATCAATAAAGTCATTGTATTAATGAAATAATTGTATCAATAAGAAATTATTTCTATTAGTAGAATATTATTCTTATTTATAATTATAGTTGTTTCCGAAATTCAATTGGCAAATCCGAAATCCGAAATTACAAAATCATAATTAATTACGTATTCCGAAATTCCAAAATTTGCATAATAGTGCAAAATTGCGAATATCTCGGGATCTAGTGATCAGATTTCGATGATCTTACTACCATTCGATTCGTCTCATCGAGGCGAATCTAATGATATGTGTTTCATTTCTATAAAACCGATATTGATGGAGTAAAATTACTATAAACATTTAATGAATTTTGGTATCGGAGCATGATCTAGTGATTAGATTTGAATGAATTTACCACCATTCGATTCGTCATGACGAGACGATTCTAATAGCGGTAAGATCATCTTTCTAGCATTGAAATTGGTGTAGCCATTACGCTATAAATATTTAAAAGTTATTGGTATCGAATCGCGATCTAGTGATTGGATTTAAATGATCTTACTACTATTAGAATCGTCTTATCAAGACGAATCAAATGGTAGTAAGATTATCCAAAACGGATCACTGGGTGCTGAGTTATTATTTGTTAAAGTTTATATATATAAATCGGCCAAAATTAAGGCTAATTCTGGCCAAATATTTTCATAATACGAAATTAATTACGGAGTCTGAAATCAATTACGGAATACGGAGTTTTTCTAATGAATTACTTAATAATTACAGAATTACGTAATTACATATTTCCGTAATACTAAAATAATTTCGGACACAAGTATATTTATAATCTTTAGCATAATATAAATTATTATAAAGGCTGAATTTTAGACTTAGTTTCAGTTAATCAGTTTTTAACTCAATAAAATGAAATATTAATTTATTAAAAGTTATTTTGAATATATTCATAGTCTGCTTGAGATTTAATTAATATTTAATTTATTAAAATAATAAAATATATAAAAATTATTATAATTTGAAAGTAAAATTATAAATTGAAATTAAGAGAATTTTTGTAAAAAAAACTATTAAAATTTGAAAGTTAAATGAATAAATAATGAAATTTAAACCAAATAAAAATATACAGTCAAACCTTGATATAGCGAACCCTTGATATAGTGAATTTTTCAGACAACTATAATAAATTTCCCCTTGCTATAACGAATTAACCAATCAAATCTCTTAAAATCTTCACTATAGCCCTATAGCGAAGTTGAGGTCTGGAACCTAGGGTTCGTTATAACAAGGGTTGACAGGACCCCGGACAATTATATGAGATGTGGGGGGAAAAAAAATGATAAAATTTGGAAAAATTTACCCCAAAAATTTTTGGATTTTATACCCACTTTTATATATACTACATTTAAAAAATTCGAAATTTACCCAAATTTTACATACCAGATTAGTACCAGATTAGTAAAAATTATTTTATTTATTTTTTCCTTTTTGATTAAGACAACGTAAAATACAAGATAAAATACTATCATTAGAAAGTGTTTGATAAATCTGGTATGCGTTAGATTGTAATGAATACATATCTGTACATGATTTTTCTACTTGATATCCCAAATAATAAAGTATTCGTTTAGATGTTAAATGACAAAAATATTCGTATCCTTCTTCACACTTTGAATAAAACAAATTATTCTGTAAATTTCTGAATACTTTAGTGGATACATATGTAATTAGATTAACTTCATTTATAGGTTCTTCAGTATATGAATGATTATTTCCAGTTGATGTACGATAATAAATTGCAAGTATTTGTACAAGACATATTTCCTTATTAATTAATGTTAATGCAAATCCTCCCTTTTGTACAGGATAAATTGAAGAAATATTTGCCGTACAGATCGAAGGAACATAATCTAAAACTATAAAATATTTAATTAAATATTTAATAATTATTAGTAAAAATTAATAAATCAGTTAATACTTACTGTAATTTGGCAATTGTAATTCTCGCGAATTTTTTAACATTTCATTGACATTTTCAAATCTTTTTCTAATATCCCATCGTTCTAATCGTGCTTTTGGTAATCTTGTATTATTATTATTATTAGTAACTTGCGCAACTATTTTGCTAGCAATAGATGGATTAATTTCTGACGAATTATAGTCTCTTTCCTGAAACTGTGACCGGATCATTTTTTTTGAAGTATAAGCTTTGTGATATTTTCGGCGTTGATGTAGTAGATCAAAAATTACATTGCCATTATTATCTAATATATCAGGATTGTTGTCATCATAAATTTGTTGTAAATATGTATTATTAGATAAATTTGTTATCTGTTCACGAGCATCTATCAAATTCTCATCTGTATCATTTCGTAAATTTAAGCTTGCAACATTTTCCATCATTTCAGCAACTTCTGCTAAAATTTCTTCTCCATCTCGAAATTCTTTTGTTAAATTTTCTTCAATTGGCGTTATTTCACTTGTTAGGAGATCAATTGGAGATGATGGTAATAATGTAACTACCATAGAAACACATTTCGCCAAAGCATTTGCTTCTCTATATGCATCATTAATAAGAACTCTAATTTCGTCATCTGTAGGCCAAATTTTTAAACTTGAATTTAAATTGTCAACATTTCCTTCAAAATAATCACAAATATAACCTATTAAATTTTTTTATAAATTAAATTAGAGATTGATTATAATAATAAAATGCTGAAAATTATTAAATAAACCAACCAACTCGAGAAGTTTTATATTCTGAATTTGGATTGACAATTGTAGAATTATAATAGGCATTTGTAACATGGCGAATTTTAGGAATTAGATAAATTAAATCTGCATATGTAAAATCGGGTAAGTGTTGCCACGCCATTCCAAAAAAATGCTCGCATGCCTCACTTCCATGCATCCAAGGTAATAATGGCATTGAATTATAGTATTCCTGATGTGCTATGATAAGTAAAATCTGTAATAATAAAACCAGCACTATTACTATTTATCTAATTTGATAAAATTAATTATAAAAAAATTGAAATTATAATACCATTGAATCAACAAGAAAAGACAATATTTCATAAGTTTGATGAGCTAAAAAATTACGATCATTTGCAAAAATCTCTTCATATTTATCTGATGCATTTTGAATAAATTGTTTCCATATTCTTAAAAAAAAACTGCTCATCATAACCATTTTGATTCTTTCATGGTTAGAAATATCTCGATTGAGATATGAATCAATTAATTCTCCTTTTAAAAGTAATAAAATAATATATTAGTAAATTAACTTTATAATAATAAATTAAACACAATAAATCAAATTTTAATTTACCAATAATAAACAAATAAACTAATAATCCTTTGTTTTTAGAATCAGAATTTAAAGTTTGAGTTACTTCATATAAAAATTCGTAAGAAAAAAGCCGATACGCGGCTCCATCTTCTTGTTTATCAACATTTAAAACATCTGCATGATACAGAGCAGAATTCGGTGATTTAGACAATCCTAATACATGACCAAAACCTAGGAAACTATCTCCAAAAGTCAGCATTCGAGCGCCACTAAAAATACTATTTCGTCCATTTTTTTTCGCATGCTTTGGATCTGAAATACAAACAATAGGACCAATGTTTGGAATTATAGGACAATGTAATTTGATATCTAAATAAAAAAGTCATTAATAATAAAGACTAAAAGATTTAATGCTGAAGTAAATTAATTATATACATACTATATAATTCATCATTAAATTCAAGTTTCGTTTGGGTATTAGTTTGCATAATATTCTTTTGAGCTTTAATTTCTATCGATGCGCCATCGGCTCCAATTGATAATATATGAATTTTAAAATGTGCAGCAAGTTCTAAAACTTGATTATGAATTTCATATACATCAGATACATTTTCACTATTATTTGGAATAATTCCGAGTACAAATGGTGGTACTTTAGGAACTGGCACTTGTAAAATATATACACGAACATATTTAGCTATTGCATTATTTGTTTGAATCTTTTTTACAATAGTATCAATTTCACCATAAGAAGATATTAAAGTTTCTTTTAACGGAAATGTAGACCCAAGAATTGCACCCAAACTTGCAGAATAACGTAATTTTTCTTCAAGTTTTGTGTTATCTGTTGATGCAGCGATTGGCCCATCATAATTAATGCTATTTAAAAACTTTCTAAATTTAGCCATATTTTCAAAGCATATCGATGGATCATCAATTGCTAAATCTGATTGAGCACGTTGTACACTAAAAATTAATTAAATAGAATTAAAATTAAAATTAAAATATACAGTATAAAAAGTATTGATATACGATAAAAATTATTTACCGGATATTTCTAATTGTTCTTCCTGCAAGATTTTTTTGAAAAATAGCATATGTTTGTGGACTGCTACTTGCTAAAATAGTTAAAAAATTAGAAAATTGTTCGGGATATCTAATATTTTGGAGCCCTTTTCCTTCATTAATACGATTTGTCATTTCCACAAAAATTTCACATAATCCAGAAAAAATTTGTTTATCTTTAAAGGCACCAGCTCGTCCCATTCTTGCTAATTGATTCCAAAATTTTGGAGTACAATCTTCTGGATCATTAAAGTATCCTAACAATTCCATGACATTTGCATTTTTACAATATTGATAAAATGGAGAATTTTTATAAAGAATTAAAGGAGTGTATTTTTGGTTTTTTTCTTTAGGAATTGGTTTATCAATTGCGTTCTATTTAATATAATTTACCATTTATAAATAAATATATATTATAAAGAATAATTTATAAAAATAAAAAATTTAATTACCAGAAAAACCTTTAATTTTTTCAAATTAAGACATTGCTTACAAACTTCGCCAATTCCATCAACATATGTTGAACATTCAGTACTTCTAACACAAAAAGTTGTGCTATCATTTATCCACTTTGCTTGTGATCGTAAAGTATCTAAAAGTTGATCATTTTCTTTTTTATTCAAATCGTTCCAGTGAAACGATGATTTGATTTTATCACCAAACAATTCTCGTGCTACAATTTCTGGAGGAGGAGCACCACCAAATGTGGTTACAAAACCGATGCGACGTAAATATAATTTAACTTTTTCATCATTTAATCCGACACAAAGTTTTCTTTTAGTATTTGAAGTTTCTGAATCTTGGGTTGAAAAAAATTGTGTAATTTGAGCGTTTCCATCATTACTTTTACATATTTTCTTTTTAACATGACGGTCAAGAAGATCTGGATCATAGTTTCTATCAAGGCGAACTTTTTTACCACATATACATATTACAGTTTTTGGATCAATAATTTTTCTAACTTTTGGATGTTTTGAGAGTGTCGCTTCTGTATGTTTCATTTTTATTAACAAAATAATTTTTTTATGTAAAACAAATATGTTATCACGTCAAGAGGTCAAATCTTTAATTTTTTTTTCTCCACTTTATTAACTTTATCAATGTGACAATAATTGAATTTTTTTACATATTGTAGTAACGGTAAATTGTAAATTTAGGACTATTGCAGTAAATGATTTACCATATATAATAATGGTATCACGGAATTTACCCCTTTTTATAATATACCACCTAAAAAATCACAAAATTTTACCCATAAAAAATCATACCACTATTTTTTTAGTTACCCCATTTTACCCCCCACATTTTTTTAAAAAACCCGTTTTTTACATACCACCTTTCAAAAAAATTTTTTAAAATTTACCCCATTACATACATACCAGATCAAATATAATTGTCCGGGGTCCTGGGTTGACTGTATTAATATTCTGTTGAAAACATTTAAAGATAAATTAGATATTTATTTATTAGTATATGACAAATGTTAGTATCAGCATAATAAATGTAAATTAAGAAATATTAAAATGCCAATTTTTGATATTTCATTAAATAGTTTATTAGTAGTTAATAACCATAAAAAGATGAAATTACCACCATTAATTTGTTTTAGTGAGATGATTCTAACTAGCTATATTGTATTTAAAGTTTCAAATAGGTTGACTAAATTCAGTTAACCTAACAAATTAACTTGAATTTATTAATTCAAATTTAGCAATTGCAATTTAATATCAGTTTATGTTGTAACCATAGATATTGGAATAATCACATGATATGAATAAATTATTAATCAAAGGATAAATAAAATACTGAGTGAAAGAGAATCAGGTAATATCCCATAATTTTTGAGAAAAGTAAAAATAAGGGGTATATAAAGTTATGAAGAATAATAAAGCTAGTAAGTATAAATTTATACAATATATAGTTATTTATAGTAACATTTATTTATAGTATATCTATTTTTGTTTATTTATACTTATAGTTTAGTTATTATTAATTTAATTATAAAATTACAGAATTAGATTATAAAATTACAGATTATAAAAATTACAAAATCATATTTAAAGGGATAGTTTAATGTAATATAAAATTCATATAAAAAACCAAGTTTTAACTTAGTTAAAAAAAGGTTTTTTTAGTGGTAATTTTAGAAAATAAAAATGAGAATTAAAAGAAATATTAATTGTTAATAAAGAATTATCAATATGGTTCATATTAAAAATGGTTAGTAATTAATATTTATTGGTAAAGGAATAAAATTGTTATTAATATTATAATAATAAATAAAACATAATAGGAAAAACTCTCACAATCTGAAATTTTGATTTAAACTAAGCAAAAACACATTAATGTTTTATTAATAATATTATTCTAAAATAATTTAAATCTTCATCTATTAGTATGTGATAAATATCAGTAACAATATTATAATATTGATATAATTTGAATGAACTGTTAATTTGAAACTATTGATTTTATATAATAAAAATGAATTGCAATATTGGAATTTACTTTTTATATTGATTTTATATAATAAAGTGAATTATAGTATTAGAATTTACTTTTTATATTGATTCTATATAAAAAAAGTAAATTGTGATATTGATGGCTTGTTCTAAATGTGTAACTATAAAAAGAATTAACTATATTACTTTATTTTAAATTTATTAAATATACTTTATATAATAATATATAAATATTAATTAAATCATTTAATAATTTTAACTATAAACTTTAAATTAAATTTTAATTTTTAGTTTTTTTTATATTTTGATTAGTAATAAATTATTTATAAATTATAATTTTTTATTGGATTTTATTTTTATTGCACTTATGTTATATTACATTTCTATAATATGATGTTACATATAAAAATCAAAAATGATATTCTAAATCCTTTTTAATATATATATTGGTTAAAAACAATATGTATAATATAAGGTTTCTTACATTATATAGTAAGTAGTATATAAAGTTTTACACTGAGATTTTTTAAAAAATGAAAGATCTTAACAAAATTATACAATTAAAGTGATCAATATAATTAATATATAAAAATTACCAAAAAAGAAATGTAACATATTATATTTTTATTTATATATATAAGATATTTTAAAAGTTAATAATTACAAAAAAATAAAATCTTATAAAATTTTTATATAAAAATTAATTTTATATTTATTAAAAATTAATTTAAAATGATAAATTTTATCTTAATTTATATAATTTTTTATATTAGTTATATTAAAAATTNAAAAACCCGTTTTTTACATACCACCTTTCAAAAAAATTTTTTAAAATTTACCCCATTACATACATACCAGATCAAATATAATTGTCCGGGGTCCTGGGTTGACTGTATTAATATTCTGTTGAAAACATTTAAAGATAAATTAGATATTTATTTATTAGTATATGACAAATGTTAGTATCAGCATAATAAATGTAAATTAAGAAATATTAAAATGCCAATTTTTGATATTTCATTAAATAGTTTATTAGTAGTTAATAACCATAAAAAGATGAAATTACCACCATTAATTTGTTTTAGTGAGATGATTCTAACTAGCTATATTGTATTTAAAGTTTCAAATAGGTTGACTAAATTCAGTTAACCTAACAAATTAACTTGAATTTATTAATTCAAATTTAGCAATTGCAATTTAATATCAGTTTATGTTGTAACCATAGATATTGGAATAATCACATGATATGAATAAATTATTAATCAAAGGATAAATAAAATACTGAGTGAAAGAGAATCAGGTAATATCCCATAATTTTTGAGAAAAGTAAAAATAAGGGGTATATAAAGTTATGAAGAATAATAAAGCTAGTAAGTATAAATTTATACAATATATAGTTATTTATAGTAACATTTATTTATAGTATATCTATTTTTGTTTATTTATACTTATAGTTTAGTTATTATTAATTTAATTATAAAATTACAGAATTAGATTATAAAATTACAGATTATAAAAATTACAAAATCATATTTAAAGGGATAGTTTAATGTAATATAAAATTCATATAAAAAACCAAGTTTTAACTTAGTTAAAAAAAGGTTTTTTTAGTGGTAATTTTAGAAAATAAAAATGAGAATTAAAAGAAATATTAATTGTTAATAAAGAATTATCAATATGGTTCATATTAAAAATGGTTAGTAATTAATATTTATTGGTAAAGGAATAAAATTGTTATTAATATTATAATAATAAATAAAACATAATAGGAAAAACTCTCACAATCTGAAATTTTGATTTAAACTAAGCAAAAACACATTAATGTTTTATTAATAATATTATTCTAAAATAATTTAAATCTTCATCTATTAGTATGTGATAAATATCAGTAACAATATTATAATATTGATATAATTTGAATGAACTGTTAATTTGAAACTATTGATTTTATATAATAAAAATGAATTGCAATATTGGAATTTACTTTTTATATTGATTTTATATAATAAAGTGAATTATAGTATTAGAATTTACTTTTTATATTGATTCTATATAAAAAAAGTAAATTGTGATATTGATGGCTTGTTCTAAATGTGTAACTATAAAAAGAATTAACTATATTACTTTATTTTAAATTTATTAAATATACTTTATATAATAATATATAAATATTAATTAAATCATTTAATAATTTTAACTATAAACTTTAAATTAAATTTTAATTTTTAGTTTTTTTTATATTTTGATTAGTAATAAATTATTTATAAATTATAATTTTTTATTGGATTTTATTTTTATTGCACTTATGTTATATTACATTTCTATAATATGATGTTACATATAAAAATCAAAAATGATATTCTAAATCCTTTTTAATATATATATTGGTTAAAAACAATATGTATAATATAAGGTTTCTTACATTATATAGTAAGTAGTATATAAAGTTTTACACTGAGATTTTTTAAAAAATGAAAGATCTTAACAAAATTATACAATTAAAGTGATCAATATAATTAATATATAAAAATTACCAAAAAAGAAATGTAACATATTATATTTTTATTTATATATATAAGATATTTTAAAAGTTAATAATTACAAAAAAATAAAATCTTATAAAATTTTTATATAAAAATTAATTTTATATTTATTAAAAATTAATTTAAAATGATAAATTTTATCTTAATTTATATAATTTTTTATATTAGTTATATTAAAAATTAATTTATATAATATAATAAATAAAAGTGAATTTTACTTGAGATAAATTTTATTTTTAATAAATTTTATTTCTGATAATAAAATAAAATACCATATTTTATTGAAATTAAGCACCCCTTTTTTGCAACAATTTTGAGCGAAAAGTTTGGGGTGGTACTTAATTTTGATACTTTTTTTAAATTCAACCGTTAATGATTTTTTTCTTATGGCGCAGTTTGCTAAACCACGCACATGATCAAATTAAGGGGTTTTTTATTTCAATTATGCGTTTAAACGTGAATTTTGAGTTTCACATGACCTTTTTGAAAAAACAATGCCAAAGATTAAACGTCAATGCACTTCATATTCCGTTGAACAAAAAAAAAATATTGTTACTTACGCTACTCAATACGGAAGAAATGTGGCAGGCAGACATTTCGAAATTGACCAAATTATGATTGGGCGCTGGATTAAGGCAAGCAAAACTTAGACAAGTGAAATAAATGATAAAAGTATGTGGTTGAAAGGCTTTCTATCCTGAAGCCAAAAAGGAGCTATATGACTGGGTTTTAGATCAAAGGAAAAAGGGATTAGCTGTAACATTTGTAACCATAAGAATTTCGATGAATGAAATTTTGGATAGAGCAGATATGATAGCTCTTTATGGTGATTTAACAACGGAGTTTAAAGCAACTACAGGTTGGTTAAATGCCTTTATGAAGAGGTATAATTTAATAAGGTGTCGGTGTACAAAAATAACACAAAAACTCCCTGAGCAATTAGAAGAAAAGTTGGAAGAGTTTTACCAGTTTGTTATTCGCCTTAGAATTCGGAAATCTTTTGAATTATGCAACATATTCAACATGGACAAAACGCCTGTATAGTTTGACATGGCCGGGAACTTTACGATTAATACAAAGGGGAAAAAACTGTTCACATCTGTGGAACAGGCAATGAAAACAACCGGTTTACTGTTGTTTTGACATGTACTGCAGGTAAGATTATTTGATTTAGTGATCTTAATATGATTATTATTTTTTTTAATTTTTCTTTTATTATAGATGGAACTAGATTACCTCCAATTTGTATTTTCAAAGGTAAACAAATGCCATGTGGTGAAAAGGCTCCTTCTGGTGTAGTTGTATGGTTTCAAAAGAGTGGATGGATGAATGTTGAATTGATGAAACATTACATTGATTATCTTAATCATATAAGAAGTTCAAACAGCCAATTCAGATTTCCAGCCATGATGGTCTTTGATTCTTTTAGAAGATATTTGGAAGAGTCAGTTAAAGAAAAATTTAAACAAAGCAATATTGATTTGGCAATAATTCCTAGTGGTTTAACCAGTAAGTGTCAACCCCTTGATGTTGCTATCAATAAACCGTTTAAGGACAACCTTCGTAAAGAGTGGCATTTTTGGATATCTAATGGTGGTGCTGGGTATACTGAAGTAGAAAATCTTCGACGTGCAAAGATAAGTGATATTTGTGGATAGGTAAAATGTGCATGGGAAAGTATTTCTGATAATATTATTGTCTATTTTTTTAAAAAATGTGGCATATCTAATGCACTAGATGGATCAGAAAATGATGCTATTTATGAAGAAATTGATGAATTTCTTAGAGAAATTGAAAATGAAAGAGAAGAGGAGGAATTAGAAATTGTTAATATGGATGATAATTATGATAGTGAATAGGAATTTTTTTTTTACTATGATCGTTATATTTGTAAATCATATATCAATAAAGTATGAAGTGCTTATTTTCGATGGTGCTTATTTTTGATTTTTGCTTGAAGTTGTGCAAAATAAGGGGGATGCTTATTTTCAAAGATGCTTAATTTCGATAAAATACGGTAGTAAAATTATATTTTAAAATAAATAAATAAAAAAAAAAATCAATATTATTATAAAAAGAAATTAATTATACATTTACCAGTAAACTAAGTAATAATATATTAATTTTGTTTGTATTATATTTTATAATTTTATATATGTAAATAAAAATTTTTTATATTATAAATAAATTTTTAAACTTTAACTTTCTTTTTAAATATACTATTAGAAAAAATTATATTTTTTATAATATTACTAACTTCCAAAATTTTATATTTTTTTATTTAATAACTTCAGAATATAATTTTACTATTTTGGCCAAATAAAATTGACTTCTTAATTTTCATAGATGTAAGTATAATATATATAAAAAAACCTATATTTTTTATAATGATACTAACTTTCAAATTTTTTTTTCTGTTTACTAATTTTAGATTGTAATTTCATTTTTTTGATCAATGAAATTGACTTTTTTTTATTAATTGAAAATATTCAGCAAGCTTGTATATTAATTTTCATAAATGTAGATATAATACATATAGAAAAATCTATATTTTTCATAATTTTTTTTTATTTACTAATTTCAAAGTATAATTTCACTACTTTGGTCAAATGAAATCAAAGGATAAATAATTAACTGAAGGATAAATGATATATTGAATAAGAAACAGATAAAGTAAATGATCTATATAATTCAATATTTATTATTATTGTTAATAAGTAAATAATGATATGATAATAAGATTAAGAAAAAAATATTAAGCAAAAGAATTATTAATAAATAGATTTAGATTAGAATAGTTATTTAGTAAATTATTTTAAAAAATTATTTTTCAAAGATTATTTTTACAGATTATTTTAAAGATTATAGATTATTTTTCAAAAATTATTTTTCTTTATAATAGAAAATTTAAGATTTAGAATCTTTAGTGAAACATCAAAAAGTATAAATATAAGTGGAGTTTGATAGACAATTTTGCAGTTGAAAAAGAGAATTCAACAACTCGTAAAAATAATTTTTCTTAAAATAAAATAAAATAAAAATAAATAAAAATATGTTTAATACATAAATTTTCAATTGTTTAACCTTTTCTTTTAATGAAAAGTGCATAATAAAATAATGATTTGGATAATAGAAAAGGGGAAACTCTCTGAGTTTATAAGTGAAAGTTACTATAATTAATTTGAAATTTGGAATTTATCTAATATATTTTTGTAATATATCTTTTATATACAATTTGTAATATATATATAAGTAATATAAAACCTTTAAAATGATATATATAACTAATTAGTTTTTTATCAGTTTAGTTTTATATTGGTATAATTCAAATTAATTTAAGACTAAACTATAATTCTGATAATTCAAACTGGATCCTTACAGGTGTAATTTTATTATTTTATCTTATTATAAAGAAATATTTAATTAATATACTGATTTAATAATATAATTTATATTAAAATTAATATTTTAGATTTTGGCAATTAACTTATAATCCAGTAATCCAATTTTATTGATCATTTTTTATAATATAGCCTTCTTTAATATTTACAGAAGGTTATCAAAATTGGACCACTAGATTATAAGATAATTAAATGATTCTAGTTTTTAAATTTCTAAGTTAACAAATTTACTAAAATATAAAAAACAAACCAAGAATTGTATTGGATATATATCCAGATTCTGATAATAGTAAATTGTTGACAGAAAAAAAGATATAATTCAATATTTTTTTTGCGACTTTTACAGTCTAATTTGTCCAAAACTAATATTTCTGTTACACGATTTGATAATCTCTGATCAAACTAAGGCCGCTCCAATTTTGATTGTTTGTAACGTCCAGAATTTATGAAGAGTTTGAGAGGGGTCTACAATAAACAAACATACATAATATAACTTTTGGGAAATTTGGGAAATTCTGGAAAATTGTAATTTTAAATTTAGAGGGTATTTATTACTATATGTTTAATAGAATCCAGATTTTTGAAAAAATAGAGGGGAGAGGGGTACGTTAAACAAATAATTAAATTGGAGCGGCCTGAATTGTTCGGTAAATATAAAATAGTAATTATTTATTTTATTTTTTGAATATGAATTCTATATTACAAAAAAATTTTTTTCCTTTTCCTAATTTTCTCATATAGTTAACAAAAAAAAAGGGAAAATAAAAACCAAAAAACCTACATATCTTTTTTAATTTAAAAAAAACTATGCTAAAAAAAATATTTCATTATTTTATTTTTCTTTGATTTTAATTGCGGATTCAAATAAATTAATCCATGCTACGTGTAACCAACTTTAATTCTTTTTACATTATATTAACATGTTGCGGTAATTTTATCGTAACATGCTTATAAATGTAAGTAAAATATAATAAATCAAAAAATTCAAGGGAATTCAATTCATTTCGATCTCTAAGAAGAAAATTTTATTAATCAATAAGCGATTTATAAATTATAAGACAAGGTTCAAAACATACCAATGAAATGGTGGATTACTAAGTGTGAAATCATCAAGACCTTGACTAGGATATGAATACATGGCAAAGCTCTCAATAGCATGCATTATATTATCGAGAGGATTAGGTTCATAAGGTCTGAACTCACAATCAGGACAAAACCACTGCCCTGACGGTTGTTGTGTAAGCCCTACACAATCCCAGTGATACCATGCATTTTCACACTAATTGAACAATTAATTGTTAATGTCGTAATTCATCCTAACAAACTATAAACCATTGAATACTTACTCTAGGATGATCGCATTGGATCATGTTACCAAACTCTGGCTGCTCAATGAAAATAAAGTTATTATATTAATTCAAACACGATGTATTAATTGCGTAAGTAATGACTTACCCGTCTGCAAAAACAATATAGAGTTTCGTTTGGATCAAATTCCAAATCACTGATGTCATCACTATTAAATAATTATTAGTTGAGAACAGTTGAAATCGACAAATGAACTAAATTTATTACTTACTCTGTTGATTTACAAAAAAAGACAATTAAAAATATTTTAGTAATTAAATTACAAACATGATAAATAAAATAAATTGAATTATACACTCACTTTCCAAATTTATGTTGTTACGGACCAATTCGTCGTCTAGTCTTTCAAGGTGTCTAGAGATCTGCGTTATATAACAATTTAATCGACAAAAATTAACACATTAGAAATTGTAAACTTTGAAATTTATAATACTCACTAGACTATACAGCTTATCTGCAACTGCAATTTTTTCGTCCTGTTTGTGCAAGGCATCATCATAGGCTTTCTGTAAATCATATTGTGATAAAATAGAGGGAGATGTGAAAAAAAATTTACCAAGGTTACAATACATCTTTACTTATTGCTAAGCCACATTATCACGAACCGTGCCACCATTTGCCACGTGTCAAATAAGGCTTTATAAAAGATGCAGACTGCGGGAAAATTTCCTTCTCAAAAACATATACTTTTATTTCTTCTAAAACGTATTTTCATATAAAAAATAAAACTTTACCTCTGTTTTATCTTTCCAGTAGCTGGCTATTTTTTCTTCTTCATCACTTTGATCGGATTCCTCTAGTATTTCGAAATATTTCTCTTGGCATTCTTTGTAAATTGCACGTAACTCTATAATAATTATTATTAAAAGAAACAAAAAACCAATATATAGTTAAACATATTAAGTTTTAGTGAAATACGTGTTTTCAAAAACACGGAAATTAAAAATAAAAAAATCATACTTTCTAGCTGTTCGTCTAAAATTTGCAACTCAGTCAAGCTTTGAACTACTTCGGAACCCAAATTGTAAATAGCTTTATTGAGAAAGGTGATAAAGTAAGGATTATCATAATGAACAAAGTTATTTTTCATTAGTTGATCAGTCTACTTTACAGAAAATTTTTTTTTTTTTTTTAAGAAAATATTCCGAAAAAACTAACAATCAATGTAATCATCAAGAACTTCAGTTGCTGATTTAAATTCATTATCAATACTATGAGTATCATTAGTTTCTTGGTCCATTTTTTTTTAAAGATTTAAAATTTTTATTTTGAGACAAGAAAGAAAAAAAAATTACGCAGTGAGAAAAGGAGTGAGGAACCGAAAAAAAAAAGGTGGTTGTAAAACCGTTGAAGTACTTAATGAAAAAAAAAAAGGTGAAAAAAGTAAAATAACACATGCACCTATAACAAACGTCAAATTACCGTCAGACTTTAATGTCACCAAAGGTTGCCTAAAGTAGTGGGTCGTGCGAATTTTTCACTAGTTTCACGAATCTGCATAGTAGAAAATCGCTTGACAATCTAATACATCCAATCAGAAAATACATTATATAACTTGTTTCTATCAAAATAGGGGTGTGACTTGTGATTTGTGATAGCAAGAGTCATGACTAAATTTTAATCATAATAAAATTAAAGTCTGCTAATAAGATTACTTATAGATGATAATCTATATATGAAAAAAAATTCATGCAGGGGTGTATACAATCAACGTACAACAATTGTGATACTTTTATATTATAGTACTCTAACTTTATCATCAAACTTAATATGGAAAAGTTTTACGTGGCAAACTTTGTGTCAACAACCTTCGTTGTGTAATTTATTTATTAATGTCGATGTGATACGATCGCGATCATTTATTTAACTTTTTATGATATGCAAATAAATACTATATATGTATATATAATTTTTTTTTTTTTCCTTCTTTTAAAAAAAATAACAAAAGTAAAATCGATAATTATAATTCTTCATGCTTGTCTTTTACAGCAGTAGTTGTTGGAGCCGGTTCTTTTGATGATGATGGCTCTGGAGTGGAAGATTCAAGATCAACTTTGTTATGTGCGTTCTTATCCAAGAATTCAACAAGGCTTTCGTAACTTCTATCCCCTGAATAATCTACAATTTCATTATCCCCAGCTTTGAAAAGTTTGATCGTTGGAAATCCAGCAATTTGGAATTTGGCTTTAGGAGGAAGATCATTTTCAGTACTATCCATCTTGGCGACAAGGATCTTATCCTTCACATTTTTGTAAACTTCTCCCAATTTTTCGTAAGTAGGTGCAAGCTTCTTGCAATGTCCACACCCTGAATATTAATTAAACCATTTAGATTTTGTTTAATATACATATAAAGCAAATATTAAAGACCTTAATACTTACATGGAGCATAGAACTCAACTAAGACATCCTTGGTGTCATTGAATACAACACTTTCAAAGTTGTCAGCAACCAACACAAAAACAGAATCGTCATTTTTCTCAGGAATTGGCTCGGATTTTATGCTTGGAGTAATTTCTCCCTTAACAAATTTATCGACGAAATCTCTAATAGATTCGGTAGTGATTTCTTTGCTTTGATTAAATGGATATTTCAAATTTTCATCGGGTAATGAAATACCAAAAGCGGGCCATGTTTGTTTCAAATTGATATTATCAGCATGTTGACCAAATTTAGTCGCGTCAATAAATACAAAGTTAACTTTTCCCTTAAATTCTTTAGCGACAGGTTCAATCTCTTTGCCGAGATCAGTTCGTTGTTCATCGTCATCATAAAAGATGAACGCAAGAGGTAAACCAGAATCAACATATGAAGCATAATTATCTTGTCCAATTTCTGCCAATAAGGGTAAAGCATTTTTCTTAATAAAAGAAGTAAGTTCCTCTTTGGTAAATGTGCCTTCCAACACATTCTTTCCTTCATCAAATTTCTTGTAAAGAATAACAGCGGGTGGCTTGACTTCGGCTTTAGTTATTACTTCTTTTTGACCAGTTTCACCAAAGACAAAATCATCACGTAATTCCTCGGATATTTGTGAGAAGATATTGAATTCTTTTTGATCATCAGCATTAAAGAAACCAATAACAACTTTATCATCAGAATCCTTGAATGTGTCAAAATTCTCAATGTTTACAGCAGTTCTTGCAGGCAAAGCTTGTCTAAAGATGATTTAAATTTTAATTATAAAAAAAAAAAATTACTTTCAGTTTGAAAGGGAATAACGCAAACGATACTTTTATTGGATCCTTACTTTTTCATGTAACTGATAATAAGGTTAGCTTTCCTGCCGCCGTTATACTCTGAAGCTTTACCATCCTTGAATACTTTAAGAGTGGGATAGCCTTTAATCTCATGTTCGGCACAAAGTTCTGTTTCCGCTGTACAGTCAACTTTAGCAAGCTTAATATTTTCAGCTTTTAAAGCTGTGGCGGCCTCTTCATATTCGGGTGCTATTGAAAAATACATAAATAAAGTAAGTTCCTTTTTGAGAATGTGAAAAGGTAATATTTTGCTTAAAAACGGCTTGCAATACCTAAAGCTTTACAATGTCCACACCATGGTGCAAAAAATTCAATAAGGATAAGCTTTTCTGGTTCAACAATTGTTTTAAAGGTATCTTTTGTTAAAGAAATAACGTCGGATTCTTCTGCTAACACTATAGAGCAAGCTAGGAGTGATAGAAATACTAGAAACGCTCCAGTTGCCACGGAAAATAAATTTTTAACACGCATATTTGTAAGTAAAAAAGATTGAAAAAATACTGTAAAATTGGCTTGCGAATTGACGACATCTTTATATCTCCAAAATTTGTTGTCAACTGTGTTGTCAATTGATAATTGGGTATAAATTGCATGCTTATTTTGCATTTCAATTAATAATTGTGACTAAACTATAAAGCATTTAAGATCGTCAATTGATTCGAGTGTGGTTTTTCACGTGTTCTAATTTAGGATAGATTAGATGCACCAAGTTACATAACTGGCTGAAAATCAAAAATCAAAACTTGTCAAGATTGTATTTAGCAATAATGTCTGTAAAGCAGTGGTAAGTGTACAATGTTATATATTTTCCAAGTCGAGATCATAAATCATAAACTGTTTTATCACATTATGTCCTTTAAATTTATTCAGGAGACACTTCACTTTTTTCGATGTTCAACAGATAAAGGATCATGATTCAACAAAGCCGCCTGCGATTTTTCAAGTATTAAATTTGCTTCTTATATTGCATTATTACAGCTTGTGAAGTATATATTCATAACATAATTTTCATAGAAAACCGACATAACAGTGAGTACGAGCGGCCGAGGAAACATTATCTTAGCTGATATCCTTTTTTATGGATTACTTCAACAAAAAAAAAAGATCATTATAGAACAATTCTATCCTTGACAACTCGTTAATATGTGCGCTTAAGTCGCACAAATTATTTTACTTAATTACACTCCTCAGGATATGTTCATATTGTAGACCGATCCTTTAATGTACAATCATTTATAGCCTATGAAGGTGGACGAGTAACACATATGAAGCAAATAAAACAAAAGAATATCTTATTAACAGTCGGAGTATGTTATTGAACTTTATTTGTTTGTTTTTAACTGTCATGATTTTTTATTTACAATTTCTTCATTGCGAATTACAATAGGAAGAAGATTTTCCGATCTTTCCGATCATAAAAATATGGGATCTCGATAAACAAGATAAATCCAAAGGGATTCCTATTTGTCTGCGAACCATCAAGGTTAACCATGGGGGAAAACCTTTTCCTGTATCAACAATAGCTGTATTAGATAATTTATCTCAAATAGCTGTTGGTTTGGCCAATGGTGTAGTCGTGTTGATAAGAGGCGACCTCAAAGAACGTCATACCAAACAAAAGGTTATTCATGAAAGCGATGAACCTGTTACGGGTAAGTGGTTTATCCTTTGCTAAGTGATTTATATAATATTATGCAAATTATAAAAATTAATAATAATATTCCTTACGCACAAAGGCCTTGGATTTAAGGAAAACAACAAGAACACTATCTTATTTATAGTCACAATAAATAAGGTTTTAACTTGTATTACACCAATTAAAAGTCAGCCCGTAAGTTTATTAAGACAATGCTCTCATGATGTATTATATCACTAGTATTTAACACATTTCCAAATTTTACATTAGATTATTATTGACGAACAAGGTTGTGCTTTGGGTTGTGCAGTAATTAGTGACATCACACACGAAATGGTTGTTGCCAAAGATGAGGTCTGAAAAATTCTTGTGTATTTCGATTATGCGCAATTCTTTATTATTAAAGCTTAACAAAAATCAACTTATAGGGAATTTATTTTTACGGAACTGAAGGACGAGGAGCATGTTTTGCCTATGAAGGTATGTAATTAAGTATTCATGTCATTATGTTATAAAATTATTTTAAAATTTTTGATTACGATAATAGGCACAAAATCAGAGGTGATTTGGTTCAAATCGAATCTTATCATAGTATCACCACCTGCTCAGTCAACGCGTTATACGTCCACTACTCATACTGGATCATCTAATCAGAAAAATACTTCTCCTTTTGAATTAACAAAAGTTACCATATTTGATACTGCTAACAAATTTATTGCTTACGTGGGAACTTTCTCTCACGGAATACGGACAATTTGTTGCGAATGGGGTGGTATTTATATTCTAGGAATGGACGGAAAGGTTTTACCATCAATAAATATTTTTATTGCTAAATCATCTGTAAAAAAAATTAATGACATTTTTATCTTGATAACTGACAGTTATATCGTCTTGAAGAAAAGGATACACCGACCAAACTTGAAATATTATTTAAGAAAAATCTATATTTGCTTGCAATCAATCTTGCGCATAGCCAGAAATATGATGATGCAAGCATTTCGGAAATTTTTAAGAAATATGGCGATCATTTATATAGGTATATTATTCAAATCTCTTTATAATTAATTATGAATTAATATACATTTATTTAAATTATTTAGCAAGGCGGATTATGATAGCGCAATGGCTCAATACATTCGTACCATTGGACAGCTTGAACCATCGTACATTATTCGAAAGGTAATATTGTTCAATATTTAAATCTGAAATAAAATTAACAATATTAATAAGGTGATAAATTTGGGGATAAATTTTAATTTAATAGTTTTTGGATGCTCAACGTATACACAATCTTGTAAATTATCTTCAAGAGTTACATTCCCATGATTTAGCAACTCCAGATCATACAACATTGTTACTCAATTGTTACACAAAACTTAAAGATGTTGCGAGATTGGACCAATTTATTAAGGTACGTTCGTAGATAGTACACTTCAATAAAACGCTAGATAAATTTAATGATTATAAAATTTCTTTATTGATAGACGGACAATAAACTCAATTTTGACTTGGAGACAGCTATTAAAGTATGTCGACAAGCCGGATATTATGAACATGCTGTTTACTTAGCAAAGTTGGGCGAAGAACATGATTTGTATATATTTTTTAATAAAATTATTATGTTCATTGAAGGAAACGATAATTAATATAATTTATTATGTATAGATATCTGAAAATACAGATTGAAGATACTAAAGATTATCAAAATGCATTGGAGTATATACGCAATCTTGGATCACTCGAGGTACAATATTAGAAATTTCATTAACAGATTTTTATATAAAGTATTTTGTTTTAATATTATCGTTTCTTAATTATCAAGGCAAATCGAAATTTGCAAAAATATGGAAAAATTCTTCTCAACCACCTTCCGGAACCTACAACTAAACTTCTTATTGATTTATGTACTGGCGACTTATATTTAACGGCGCAGAATCCACATACTCCCGAACCAGTTGGTCCTACAGAAGTATCACATCCTGGTGGCATCCCCTATCCCTCATTTCTGCAATTTGCTCATGCTTCACCAGCTCCATCACTAAACGCAGAAACACAAGCAAATATAACAGCGGTTAATACTCCAAAAGAACCAAAAACTGTTGCGTATAAACCGCCACCAGTTCGCACTTTCATGTCATTATTTGTAGACCAACCAAACTACTTAATACAGTTTCTTGAGAAAGTTTCTCAAAAACGTTGGGGCGGTTTCGGCTCTATTAAACCTTCACAACCAGCTCATAATCTTTCTTTAGCTAAGGGACAATATGTTCCTATTGATAATATTGCAGATGAAGCAGCTGAGTCTTCAAAGAGTTTTTTTGAATCCGACGCAGAAATTGAAGAGAAGAAAGCAGTATGGAATACACTACTGGAGCTTTATCTATCTGAGGCATATTTACCCCCTGTAATTTCAACTAAAGATGCTAAAGGAAGAAAAAATGGTGCACCTGGTATTTTTGGTGTTACGACAGAAACTGAACGCGTAAAAGAAAAATTGATTAGAAAGGATAAAGCTTTACAATTGTTGATGGATGAAGATGTTCGTATCTGAATATGTCCGTTATTATCATCAGATTTAGGTTAATAATTTTTTTTTTTTTTTTTAATCTAATTGTAGATTTCATATGATGCGAATCAAGCGCTGGTACTTTGTTATTTAGCACAGTTTGATGAGGGTATTATTTATTTATATGAAAAGATGAAGATGTATGAAGATATTCTAAGGTTCTACATGGCCAAAGATAATACCGAAAAAGTAATTCAGGCATTGAAAAAATATGGGTATGTTAATCCACTATTTGAAATATATGAATAAATACACATTTCTTAAGCAATTCTCATCACTTAATTTATAAACTTTTATAGACCTCAAGATCAATCTCTTTATCCCCTCACATTGACATATTTTTCATCTTCACCAGCGACTTTGGCAACTTCAACAACTGAACTTTTAAAAATACTTGACCACATTGAATCTCATAACTTATTGCCACCTTTACAAGTTGTACAGGCTCTTAGTAGAAATTCTGTAGCAACGTTGGGTATGGTTAAAGGTTATTTAGGAAAAAGAATCGAATTAGAAAAAAAAGAAGCTCAAGCGGATATGAAACTAATACAAAGTTATCGTGAAGAAACTGAAAAAAAGAGAAAAGAGATTGATGATTTGAAGACGACGTACGTATTCATTATCATATTGTTAAAAAAAAACAGTGTTAATTTATTTGCTTTATAGAGCCCGAATTTTCCAAGTTACAAAATGTACTGGATGTAGAAGCAATCTCGATTTACCTGCCGTACATTTCTTATGTCGACATTCGTTTCATCAAAGGTATATACACCTACGAACCTTCTTGATTTCTAATATTTTATGATCCTTACTATATTAATCTACGCGTTTTACCAGATGTCTACCCGATTCTGATCGTGAATGTCCACAATGTGCTGTTCAACATCGTATGATTTCCGAGATAAGAAGAGCTCAAGAAGAAAATGCTGAAAAGCATGAATTATTTTTTGAACAGGTAAGAATTTATTTCATATTACTTAATTATTTTCTCTTATTAACATTTATTATTGAATTACATTTAATAGTTAAAAGAAGCAGAAGATGGCTTTAGTGTTATCGCAGATTACTTTTCCAAGAATACAATGGCTTTTGCTAAATTAATTGACTAGTTTGATTAAGGAGAATCAAAATATGTACAGTATAGAACTTCTAATCTTAGAGATATCGGAACTTGAATGGTTTTTGGTTTATGTATATTATTATTATATAACAAAATATATTTTTATTGAACACGTAAATGTAGTAAATCTATCAATATTTCACGTGACATAAATAATTTTTAAAAGAACTGAACCGTTTATAAGTTTATAATATAAACCTCATCGTAATTGTTTTAAATTTTAATTTCGAGTGTGATCTCACGTAAATTCTTCCTCGGGTTCTTATTAATATTTACTCAAATTTTATTACTAATAATAATTTCATCTCCTTGATTATCGAGCAATTAATAAATCATGAGATTGATCGGTCAATTTTTTGATGATTAAGATACAATGATTCCCGTTTCTATTTTATCCGTCGCGTATTTCATTCTATATGTAGTCTCATATAAAAATTTACTAAAAGATAATTTTTAAAAAATGAAGTTTAATTTAATTAGGTAATTTTTATAATGAAATAGCAATAAATTGTATATATAAATGTACTGTATATATAAACTTTTTATTATAAGCAATATCGTTAAAAAATTTTTTTTTTATATGCAAAAATAACTTCCTAGAGAGTTATTTTCGATTTAGTTCTTTGTTTTCGCATTTCTTTTAATCCATCGGTCAGAAATTTCATCTGATGATAAACGAAGCTTACTGATAGTACCTATAGTTGAATTAAGAGATTGATTTTGTATAGCGTTTAAAATGATTTCAAGTTGATTCTGGTCCATTTCAACTAAACATTGTTTTATCTCATTAATTATTTTATCATTTTGATGCTTTTCTTGCTGAAATCAGCATCACGGTTTATAGTCAAATTTTCATCAAAAAATCATTTTATTAGTTGATATCCCATCTACTCCGTCTTTATGTTGCAAGCTTTACCCTATAGTTTTTAAAACTTATTCAAACTTGGTTAATCACAAAAATCTTAAAGACTCACAGAATAGAATACTCCATCTAGATTCCCTTCCTCGTCCTCCACTTCGTCCCTTTCTTAGGGGCAATGTAAACAAACAAGGACGTCGCGTACGCGCTTCTTCAACAGGATGTTTCTTTATATCTTTCAAGCATCAATATCATATAGATCAATATTAATAGACGTGGTTGTGAAAGAATGGACATTTGTGACTAGATCATTACCACAACCATTAACATAGACGCAACTGACTTTTCGTGCATTACGTGATCTTTAATTAAAAAGTAACTGGTAACATACAAATCATTTATATAAATTGATCATGAACAGCATGAAAAGACCTCTTTAATTGTTTTGGTTTGGGGATAAGGTTTATGATACAGTCAACTCCGAAAAACGATATTTGGGATTCATATGAAAAACTTCGTTATCTGTTTAATATATCAAAATTATACCGATATTTATATGTTCTTTCGTATGAAGGGAAAGTAAATTTTATCATTATATCATGTTTTTTATATATCTCGATATACTAAATATCGGGTAAAATATAAAACCGGTTAGAAATAACACAAAAGTATTGGTAGTATTTTCTTGACCTATATATATTAAATAAAAGAGAGTCGAGCAGTAATTATCTAGTCACGCATGGATAGAATAAAAAAAAAGTACAAAGGAATATACAATTTTTTACAGCGTTTTATATATGCCTTTCGTGAGTGCTACCTCTCAACCCAATAGATCTTGATAGATTTTTATTCTACAGTACTTGATTTCGCGTGTTACAAAATTGGCTTTGCATCGTGGCTCTGTAAATCTTTGATCATTATTTGTACGAGTGTATCATATAATTTAACATTTTTTTAAATAACGAGCTAAAATAGTCTAAGCCCAATATTATAAAACGGGATGATAGTTTTATCCGCGTGAAATTTTTCTTTGTATTAATTAAATAAAATTATAAATAACAATAAAAAATTCTTTTCTTCACAACCTTACTGAACTTTTTTTTTTTTTTTGATATATTTATTAAGCTTTTAAATTAATTAATTTAATTTAAAATTAAATTTTTCAACCAACCAGAATATACATTGTTTCATTATTTGCATTAACTCTTTTTAATAAATAAATATATATATAATCAACAATGTCGAATATCATTGAATTTTTTCGAGAAATGCCACGAAGAAAAAAATTAACTTTATTATTAACATCAATAATAGTCATTGTTTTGACTATATTGTTTTTTATATTTGAGAAACCAATAATGAGAGGTAATTTGGTTAATAATAATATAATATACGATGGTCATAATAAATATTTTTATAGTAAGCATCTTGAAAAAAAAAAAATAAAAATAAAAATTTAAATAAAATTCAATATATAGACGCTTAATTAAAAATTTTAATTTAAACTTAACGTAATATTATATACAAATTCTTTTAATAGCTTTAGCTCCGGTAGCAGAAGAAATACGTGATCTAAAATTTGGATATTTAATTATCGGAGGAATAATAATCGCTTCAAGTATTCCACCAATTCCAGGGTTGGTTAAATATTTTCATTGATAATTGTTTTATTTTGATCAAAATTTTATTTTTTAATGTTTGACTTTTTATAGGTATGGATCTATGATATTTATATGTGGATTCATATACGGATTCCCACTTGGATTCGCCCCAGCATACATTTTTGCTTTGCTTGGTGCATCTTTTAGCTTTTTGTAAGTTTATTTCGCTAAAGAAAAATATATATATATGAAATTAGTTCTATTCCAAGTCTGTTAAAATTAACATAATTCGGTTTTAATAGCGTTTGTCGATCAATATGTCTTGGCTATGCTAGAAAGCTCACAAAAAAGAAAAGTAATTTTCAAAAATTAGCACTTGCTATAGAAGAAGGTGGATTCAAGGTAAATAAAAAATAAAATTTAAAATCCAATTAAATTCAAACAACATCCACTTACCATAAAAACTTTTTAATTAGATAATATTTTTAATAAGATTGAGCCCATTCCCATTTCCCTGGTCAAATGCATTTTTTGGTACAATTCAAACCGTTAGTTTTTGGAAATTCTTTTTAGCTACAGCTTTAAGCTTACCAAAATTATTAATATATATATTCATTGGTTCGAGATTTCGAAATTTAACTGAAGAAATGGATTCAACTTCTCGTACAATTAATTATGTTACATTAGCTGTTGGTAGTGTATTGTTATTCTTTGCAGCTTGGTATATTTATAGGAAAATGAATGCAACTGTCAATGCTGCCGCTGTTAAAAGATTATTACAAATGGAAGAGAGTGGTAGTCTTGATAGACTTGATTTAAGTGAAATTGATTCTTCGGAAATATATGCTGATGAATTAGTAGTTGATGAAGTTAATGAACGTGGAAAGTTGCAATAACAATTGAAAATGTTAATTAATTTAAAGGAAAAAACATTTCAACATATTATAGACTATTAAAAACACACACACACATATCATATAAATTAATATAAATAAAATATTAAAATATAAAATAAGAATTGTTTATATTAATCATGATTTCATATTATATTAGCTTTCTTCATAATGTATATACTAAAACGATCTTTCTTTTATTCTTCGAAACATTCATCATCTTCATTCCATCTGATCAACTTTAAATCAATTCCCATTCGTAAAAGCATTGTTTTCATGGTACGTTGTTCAAGTTCGTTTTTCTGATTAGATGATTCATTATAATCCTCCTCCTCACCATCCGAATAACTTACAATATGCTTCTGTTGATCCTCTTCATCCCATCCCCAATTACCCCAAGCATTCGAAAAGCCTGCCTCTTCTAAAAAGGATTTTTCTTTCGGAATTTTCGAAAATAAATATTCTGCAGTCTCTTGACTTGCTCGACGCCATTTCTTAATTAGTTGTCCAATATTATTGCCTTCATTCTTTAATGAAATAATTTAGTATAACAATTATGTAAATTGAAACTATTATTACTAAGTTAATATACTATATTTACCGTCTCCTGATATTTCAATACCAATTTAATCTTCCTGATATTTTCTTCAACTTTGGTAATTTCTTTTTCTAATTCTCGTTTCTGGTCCAATAATGCTTTAATTTCTGGATCATGCGATTCACGAGATAAAGGTGACTTGAATTTTGGCCTTTTGACTGATGCGGGTAACGGTAAAGAAGATTTTCTTTTCAATGGACTTTGCGTCGAAGAACTACGTGCCGTACTTGGAGTCAAAGGTGAATTCAACTTTGACTGCGCCTTGCTTATTATAGATGCCATTGAACGTCGTTTTGCACTAAGTTCAGATTTTGGTGTCAGTTCTGAATTCTGTCTTGATTCTTGTATAGATAATTTTTCCAAATTTTTTCTAATCCAATATATTGTAATTTCTTGATTCTTGTTATCTGTACGCGTTGATAATAAATTTATTATACCTTTTTTGACCAACCGGTCAATTAATTCTAGTGCGTTGCGTCGATTCTTTGTCTAATTATTTAAAAATAAATGTTCAATAGAAGTGGACGAAATACAAATTTGCAATTTGCTTTTATTTAAGAATAATATTATATTACCAAATCACTCCTGTTCTTTGAACAAACTATATCAACAAGATCTTGTTTTGACCAAGCGTGCCAATCTTCAGAGTTTGAAATACGAAGAAGTACGTGAAATGCCATACCCGCCAGCGAAGGTACTTTAAATCCGTTCGACTGCTTCGACACCATTTTATTTAGAGAAAATAAAACTGACTAAATGATTGTGGATTGGCTGGATTAACCCGAAACTTGAGAGAAATAAAAAAAAAAAAAAAATTGTGCATACTAAAACCCGACTGAAAATGATGTACTTTATACTTGTTAAACACGTGTGTTCTCGTGTGTCAATAAATGTGACCCTTTTACATTCACAAAATAAATATTTTTTATTTTGATTGGCCGATTGGCAGGAGCAATAATGTAATACATACGTAATAACTGATTAGGTATATTATGAATTACATACAAAACTAAAAATAAATTAATTATCATATATTTTGTATTAAAATTAACTAAATTATAATAATATTTTCGTCAAAAACCATAAAAACTTCTTATTCTTAAATTACGTGATTTCTCGATCATAGCTTTACCTATCATAACATCCTTGCTTAGTCCATACCGCGGATATTGCCCTTTATTAATTATCCCTCCAAGCATTTTTAAAGCATCGGGATGGTCTTGTTTCGCTGAACTTTTTAAATAATCAAGCGCAATTTTAGTTCTATCTTTGTCACGATGTTCTTTTGCTGCCGTACCATAATTTATTATCGCTAAAGCATAATAATATTGTGCATCTGCATGTCCGGATTCAGCTGCTAACTTCAAAAAAGACACACTAGCTCTTGAATTTGGTGTGCCCTTTGTACCTTCATGCCACCCTTTAAGATAATAATATCCTACCCAATATTTTCCATCAATATCATTCGATTTACTTTCATATTCCTCAAATATTTTCCATGCCCTCTTATATTGCTTATTTTGATGGTATTTAATTCCCCTTGCAATGTCTGGTATTTTTCCAATAATTTTTGGGGACTCTAAACCTTCTGTTGAATTGTCATCAATAGATTCTTCCTCTTTGTTATAACTAATCAACTCAACATTTTGGTTTAGTAAATTTCTGGAATCTAATATGTCAAGTCTGTTATACAATTTCTCCATGTTGGAACGTTCTTCTGGATCATGAGCCCATGCTCTTTCGATAATATTTTGGAATTCTACAGGAGTTCCGTGTACAGGTTTTTGTGGAGGATATTCACCTTTAAGAATTTTTTCGGAAATTTCCTCAGAAGTAAGTTTGTTATAAGGTAACTCATGATGTTGAATTTCCCACAAGACCATTGCGAAACTATAAAAAATAGATTTATGTTTTTTAGAAATTATAATTAAATATTGAACATATTAATAATTAATTACCTATATATTTCACTAGCTTTAGTGTATCTTTCACCTCTAATCCTTTCTGGTGAATTATATCTGTAATAATAATAAATGAATGTTTGATTTAATTTTTTTAATTTTTGTCACGAGCACATGAGCAGATTTTACTACCTTACATCAAGTGGCGCAGTAGATTTTTTATCGATTCGAAAATTAAATAGTCTGGGTTCAAAATGCTGATTCAATAATATGTTCTCTCTTTATAAATAAAAAAATTGATAATAAAAATGATGATAATTTTTTTTTAGAAATCGGAATAAAATACATAAACACGTGACGAAGAACGGAAGGAGAATGTTATACTAACGTTCTAATATCATAATGTAATATGTCTTTTTTATGACAATAATTCAGCGCATTAGCAATTCCTCGAGCAATTGACAATTTTTCGATCCAGTCAAGGTCTTTATTTTCAGCGAGATAAGTTTGTAGATTGTAATCTTCCCATCGTGAAATAATGGAAAAACCAGATGGACGTTGACAATATCCAAATCTAAATAGAAAATAATTAATAAAAAAAATAAAATTTAAAATAGTAATGTAACGATTTTAAATACTTACATTGTCAATATATTATTACAAGAACTCAAATCTTTCATAAATTTAATTTCTCCTATCATCTCTTTATATTTTTCATCATTAACACTAAAATTTCCCACTTTCTTCTCAGCAATTCTTCTAGTACCTTCATACCAACAAAGCTTAATGTGATTTCTACTACCTCTAAATATAGGGTTAACTTCAGCAGCACTAGAAGTATCAAAAGTTTGAAGACCATTAAAATTATATGAAACTTTAATGCACTCAATTGGAATCTTTAAGTTTAATGAATCTTTGACCATTGCATCTAATGATTTTTGTTTAAGAGTTGAAGAAAATTTTCCAAGTGCTTTGATCTTTTTCTTTATCGCGCTGCTCCATCTTGAACGTTTTAATTTCCAATCTATGATAATATTTTGAAATTCAGTCGTTTTAATTTCTAATTCTTCGATTAACTTTTCAAATTTCTCTCTTTCCTGTATAATAATATATTTTAAAAATATATTGATTATATTAATAATATATAATATATGTACCATCTGTTATCCAACTTGTCTCCGTCGATCATTACCAATCCCAAATAAAATAAAAGGAATATTATACCTCATAGGTATTAACACTATTGGTGAACACGTAATTTGTGAAAGCTGAAAGTTTCCACAAACAATCTCCAAGTCTTTGTAATTCCTTGCTATTTTCAACATAATTCATAAAATCATCACGAGGTACGTTTGGACTCGGAGATGGAGTATTAGGATTCGTACTTATATTATCAATTTCGTTCAAAACATCTTTACAACGCTTAGCAACTTTTAATCCCTCTGGGCATAAATCACGATTATATTTTGATGTTTCAAAATCGGATATGATACTATCTAAAAATTTTTTTGACATGGAAAAATCTTTTCGCATACCCCCCACCATAGAAAAGAATAAAGACATTATTAATTATTATGTATAAAGGAAAAGGATGATATTTTAAGAATGAAATATAAATTTACAGAAATATAGGAAAAAAATAAAAATAAAAATTTGAAAAATATTTAAAAGTAAAAATTATTTTTACTATGAAAGCGAGATTTATTATCAGATAACCAAAAAAACCACGACGTGGCCTAATTTTATAATTACTAACTACAAACATGCATACATAACTTGAATGCCCAACTATTATTACACAATGCAACTCTAATAACCACGTAAAACAATAAACAAAAACAACACTACATAAAAAACCACGGCCATATAGGTCATATAAATCCGAATGCCAAATGATGATCTTTCTCCTAGACTTTTAATGCATCGTAATACTATCGTAATCAATTCCGCTTGAAAAAAAACGCCTACTTTTTCGTGAAATGTTACTTTATTTTAAAATTTCTAGAAATAGCCATGTATTTTGACTTTTCTGCGGCTATTAAGGCTAATAAGGTAAATAAAGTTGAAATCTTGTATCGCTTTTTGATCCATCAGGTTTATTTGTCACGATAATGCACAATATATAATTATTAGAATTAATTAGAATGTGATAATTAATGCGATAAAATTTCTTGTGTTTCTATTTTCATTGTTCTTCCTATTTTAAACGTACTTACAATTACATAATTAGAAAATACATTTTAACGCGGTATGATTATAAAATTTTCCAATAATGGATAGAGTAGAATCGCGAAATTATTATTGTTGCGTACAAAAAAAAAACACTTACAATATTTCATAAAAAATATTTTTATGACAGAAAAATATATAATATTTTTCATCCAAGATACGGAAAAATACATTTAAGAGAGAAGATAACAGACAAAAAGAAAGAATTTATCTCCTCTTTTATGGTATTGATCAACATTAACTTATATATAGTACTCTCTACCTCTCCTGCTCAGTACTCAATTAAATGAATGATGTTACTCGCTTATTTTAGTTATGATTTCTCAGATAATCTAGTCATTCGATATATGTCGCAAATATACAAATGTTGTGTACTTGTGCCTTTTAACCCTTTTTCTTTCATTATAATCAATCCAATCAACAAAATATCTTGAATTTAAGATTGTTGGAATTAAAATGTTGAAAAAAAATCATAAATAGAAATGAAATAATTACACTAGCGTTGGATCCTGTAGTGTTATAAAATATCCTGTACGAATTAATGATCATGACTAATTTGGTTAAGAGTTTTTACTTTTAATTTGTCATGGAGATACATCATACATCATACTGTTGAAATTAAGTTCGAACTATACCAAGATTTTGGTCTTTTCACTACGAACTAGATGATCTTTTTTTCGAACATCGAAATAACTATCACGTGAGGCGAAGGAACAACGTTTACGCTAAAACATGGAGGCATTCAACTAAAATATGGTTAATGTTTTATAGAAATAATATTTCCTTGCGTCTTTTGAACTGCCATTGAAAACTGCACAATCATAACTCAAGCTGAAATCATAAGTTTATCTGAGATATTACCACAAGTCAACAGTGGAACCGTTTATACTTTATTACGATTTACGAGCCAAACACTGCGTGTCACGTGAATGTCAATTCCGTATAACAGATAATGTCGATCTGAAAGTTAAAACTCGAAATCTTTTTTATTCCTTTTTTTAAATGGTATTAAAAAAATTAAAGTATAACACCTTATTATTGGTGTCATATTTATTTTGTATAATATTTATAGTTTCTAAAGCGGAAACGCCACCCGTTCAAACATGGTTAAAAACTTCTTGGGATGCTCCTCATTTATTACTCGAAATAATGTATGTATTAAATTAATTAATTATATTTGAGTATAAAATTTAATTATCATACATATATATATTATATTAATTATCTTGTTTTAATTTAAAGAGAGTCTGTTTCTGTAGAGAATTCTACAGCATATTATCCACTTATAAATGAATTTATAAACCTAGGATTATTTTCTTCCGAATTAACTTATCATGAAATGTATAATACGGCACTCGATGTTATCGAATCAAAGCAGTATTTATCAACACCAACGTCAATATCAATTCTCGAATTCTCTCTTTCGCTTCATACGACTGCTCCAGCGATTCAAGCTTATTACCATTATTACAACACGACCGTAGTGCCAAGCAAACATGAGCCTGATATTAATTTCAATCCTGAGTGTGACGTTTGGGTTGATTGGTATGGTCATCAAGCTTGTAATGTTGAAATTTTTAAAGAACTGACCGGAATTAGCAAGACCGGAAAATTTGATAAACTTCTTAATAGGTAACAATTATTATTTTTATATGATTTTGATAAGTTATATATTTTATATTAATATCATATTTTGATCATGTTTAATAGTTCTGATCAACATCCAAAACTTTTGTCATTTGATCATATTTTATCTTCTAATGCAGAAACCACAAAACCATTGATTATATTATATGCTGACGTAATTTCACCAAGTTTTGTACCTTTTCATCAATTTATAACCGATTTGGTTGATAATGAAGAAGTCGAGTATGTTTTACGATATAAGCCTCCCAGGGGTAGTCGAAATTCTTTACATCTTGCTGGATATGGAGTGGAATTAGCATTAAAGAAAACTGATTACATTGTAATTGATGATCGTGAAGTCGAAACTGGTAGGGGTTTGATGTTTGCAAATAATCAAAATCATGCAAAATTTTGTTTTAATATAATTCTTGTATGATAGGTGATCATAATGAAAGGGAAAATGAAAACTCTGAATCTTATAATGATTCACACAGAGAAAAATTAAGCGAGCATTTATTTGATGAAAATATATCCGAGATTAAGCCACTTACAGCTAGTGCAATTAGAGGTATTTAATGAATTTTTTTTTCAATTGAATAATCTGGTAATGAGTATTTTACTTACATAATATTTTTTATATGAAGAACTTGGCTTAAAAGCTACTCAGTTCATTATTTCTTCACAAAATCCTTTGTTGACTCTTACACATTTGTCACAAAATTTACCAAAATATTCTTACCATATCGCACAGCTTAATCTCAATTCATCGCTTAAACAAGAAATCAAAATAAATCAAAATTATTTTGGATTGGATTCCAATTCTTTTTGGCTTAATGGGCTAACAGTTGACCCAAGTTCTGTTGATCCATTCAGGTAAGAGTCGACTGAAAGGATATCATTTTAATGAAAATTTATCATCAAATTCTAAATAATAATATTTTTTTTTTTAAAAAAAAAGTTTATTGAAACTTCTTCGACGTGAAAGACAAAATGTGTTGTCACTTATGAGTCTTAATATGACTTCACAGCAAGCTGTTGAATTTCTTGCTTCACCTATTATATTGGAATCAAAATCTTCACAAGAGTTAACTAAAGGAATTTTCGATGTTCGCGACAAGTCAGAAAAACAAAATATTATAATTTGGTTTAACGACATAGAAAAAGATAAAAGATATTCGAACTGGCCACCTAGAATATTTGATGTATACTATTATTTTATATTTTATATTTACTTTTCATTGGATTTTATATTTACACACATATTTTATAATTTAGATTCTTCATCCAATTTATCCGGGACATATGAGATATATACGCAAAAACTTGTTTAATACATTATTCGTTATTGATTTATCATCTGTGAAAAGTCTCGAAGTTATCAATGAAATTAAATTGTTCATTGAAAGAAATATTCCAATCAGATTTGGTCTTATTCCGCTTGTTGTTAAAGAGAAAAATGAATGTAAGTGTTAATTATTAATATTAATTCTGTCCTAAAATTTCGCACATCACTTAATTTTTTCTACCTTTATAGCTATAATAATGGCGAAGATATTCTATTACCTTATTGATCAGTATACAATGCCCTTAATCATGCAATTTTCCTCACAGGTTAGCTATATAACAAAATTATAATTAAGCCATATTTAATTTTAATGTGATGTTAAATTCTTAATAAAATTTTATTTTATTTTATTACAGGTTCTTAATGAGTTAAAAAATTCACCTTCAGCTAATATAGTTAAAATTGCAGAAAAACAATTCAACAATGTTATTAACGATCAAACACCCAAGGATAACACATCAGTTAAATCTTTTGATGATATTATTAAGTCTGATACTGAATCTTCGCTTGAAGAACAGATTCTTGGCGCAACAGAATTTATTAACAAATTCAGAATAGATGCTGATGGAAAAGGAAAAGGTGCTTTATTTATTAATGGAAAATATTTTGATTTGGATGATGTAAGTAAATTTATTTTATGAATTTTGAAGGACAGATAACTTTACTATCTTACGCATATATTAGTTCGATATGATATAGATTGATTTATTATAGTGCTTATTGCTTACAATTCGTTTTACAAATCTTTTTATTTATAGAATTATCAGAGAGATATGATTCAAACTATTACTGAACACACTGGATTCATACAGCAGAAAGTAAGTATTCTTATAAGAAATTAATTGATTTTAATAAATAAAATTAAATTAATTTATATGTATATACTCTTTTTATGATAGGTGTACGTTGGTGAAATTTCTGATCATACAAATGTATTTGAATATTTTATGACTTTACCAAGAGTCCCGTCTAGAAGAAACCCTCATGTGTTCGTATCAGATTCACAACCCTTGAATGTCATAAATTTAGTAAAAAACGACGAAAAACTAAGCAGTGGAAGATATATTTATTCAAGTAAATTTACATACTTTATTTATCGTTTTTTCATGAAGTTTATAGTGAGTATACGTTTATTAAATTTTATTACTTTTATATTATCTATAGCGAAACAAGATGGTAATGAAGTACCTGTATCATTATTACTTATAACTAATTTTGACAGTGAATATGGAGCTAAGCAAGGATTAGAAGCTTTGAAATATTTGGTAATATGTTATTATTATATTAATTGTTAACTAAAAAAACATATTTATTAACAATAGTATTCATTCAGGATGAATCATCAAACGCACGCGTAGCATTCATTCATAATCCTTCAACTCAACCTAGTATACGCGAGGATATTAGTCTATCTTCTCTTATTTATCTTATATTACACAGTTCTGAAACGAATACTGTAGATATGCCGGATTTACCAAAAATCCTCAAAGAAGCTTTCGAAGAATATCTTAATATAGAAAATAAAATTAAAATGCCATTTGTTGAACAAACAGAATCACAAGAGATACCAATTTCAAATTATGAAAGCGCAAACCCTGCTAGATCCTTTGGATGGCAATTTGCTGATAAAGTCAAGTCACAAACTTATTGGAAAGAATGGAATTCATTTACACGGAAAACGTTGAAATTGAATGAAAATGATACTGCTATCATAGTTAACGGTCGTGTATGTGCTTTTCCTATACTTATTGCGAACCATTATTATTATTATTTTTTTTTTTTTTTGAATATTCTCTTATTAAATAATTAATAGGTTGTGGGACCTTTCATTAAAGAAGATTTGTTCGTCGTAGACGATTTCAACTTATTGGTTGAATTAGAATTCTCTGAGCGTATCGAACCTGTAATAAATGCCGCAAAAGCAGCTAATTTAACAATACATTTGGACAGGTAAATTTATTTATTAATTTATTATTAATTTAATAAAATTTGTTATTAATTTATTTTACTTTTAGGTCCAATTATCCGGATTTTGTGACTAAAGCAACTTCTATAATAACTGCTTCTATGACATCGGATGTTCCTGTTGGTCTTTTTGGTGGACAAGAATTAAAGCGAGATCTTTCATTCAAGAAGTTGAAATCAGAAAATAGGTAAGAAATAAGTTAATAAAAATATATATATAAGTTTGGTAATATATGTGATTGATTATTGTTTTGTTATATTATAGCAAAATTGTTGTTGGTGATATAGAAGCAGCAATATACAAGATTAGTGTTTTAATTGATCCTTTAAGTGAAACGGCACAAAAATGGTCCACGATATTAGAGGTAAGCAACATGGAAATGCTTTCATTTTATTATATTGTAAAAAAAATTTTATTTATCATGCTCAATTTTTAGATACTATCGCAAATTGATGGAGTTGCTATTGAGTTATATTTTAATCCAAAGATGAATTTAGCTGAAATTCCGATAAAGAGATTTTATCGTTATGTATTAGAACCGAAATTGAAATTTAATACTACGACTGGGTAAATTATACTTAAGAAAAGAGTTTCATCATGTCATTTTTTTATTTAATATCTTTTTTTTTTAATAGAAACCTAATTGCCCCATCCGCCCATTTTTCGAATTTACCTGAAGATCCTTTACTAACACTTGGAATGGATGTAATTCAAGCATGGCTAGTAACACCTAAAGTTTCTATTCACGATTTGGATAATATTCGGTTAGCAAATTTAGATTCTCGTTTGAGGATAAAAGGAGTGGAATCGGTATTTGAATTAAATAATATTCTTATTGAGGGTCATGCACGTGATATGACACTACAAGCACCTCCAAGCGGACTACAGATTGTACTTGGTACAAAAAATAATCCTGTAATGGTAGATACTATTGTAATGGCAAATCTTGGATATTTGCAATTAAAAGCAAATCCTGGTATATGGACATTTAGTTTAAGAGAAGGAAGGTCATCAGAAATATTTGATATACAAAGTGCTGGAAGTGAAGGATGGTATAGTCGTAATGTTGAAGAAATCGGGAATGAAATAGTATTAAATAATTTCGAAGGATTGATTATTTATCCAAGGTTTACTAGGAAACCTGGTAAAGAAAACGAAGATGTATTAAAACTTGAAGAAAAAGATGGAATTTGGAACTATTTTATGGATAAGTAAGTATATATTTTCTGTCTTACTTTATGGAAATTCTAATGGAGATTTTAATTGTTTCTTCTTTTTACCTAAATAAAGGTTTTCGAAAAATGTTTCTAAACAGAATAAAGCAGAAATTAATATATTTTCTGTAGCATCTGGCCATCTGTATGAAAGATTTTTGTCTATAATGATTCTAAGTGTATTGAAGCATACAAAAAGTCGTGTTAAATTTTGGTTTATCGAAAACTTTTTATCACCATCTTTCAAGGTAAATTTGAAATTAGTTTTACCATCTATTTTATAATGAAAACTCTAACACATTTGTATTACAGGATTTTATCCCACATATGGCTGAAGAATATAATTTTGAATATGAACTTGTTACATATAAGTGGCCGCATTGGTTAAGAGCACAAAAAGAAAAGCAAAGAACTATCTGGGGGTGATTATTAAAGAATTTTTCTATTTTTAAAAAATCATTAATTATTAATATTTGTATTTATATTTTAGATACAAGATCTTATTTCTTGATGTACTTTTTCCACTTGATTTGGATAAAGTTATATTTGTTGATGCGGACCAAATTGTACGAGCAGATTTAAAAGAATTAGTCGATATGGATCTTCAAGGAGCCCCATATGGATATACACCATTTTGTGACAATAGGCCAGAAATGGATGGATTTCGATTTTGGAAGCATGGATATTGGAAGGATCATTTAAAAGGAAAACCATATCATATTAGGTATGATAAAGTATTGTGTATTTCGGTAATAAAATTGTTATTAATAAAATTTTTCTACGAAATAGTGCATTGTACGTTGTAGATTTACAACGATTCCGTCATATGGCAGCAGGAGATCAGATACGTGGACAGTATCAATCACTTAGCGTAGACCCAAATTCATTGGCAAATTTAGATCAGGATTTACCTAATAATATACAACATATTGTACCAATATTTTCTTTACCACTTGAATGGCTTTGGTGTGAAACTTGGTGTAGTGATGAATCACTTGCGGGAGCAAGAACCATAGATTTGGTAAGTTTAAAAAAAATAATTGACCTTTTTTTTAAACCAAAAATAATTAATAAACAAAATAATTTATATTCTTTTATTAGTGTAATAATCCAATGACAAAAGAACCAAAACTTGATCGTGCAAGACGTCAAGTTCCAGAATGGGAATCTTATGATAAAGAAATTGCCACTTTTGCTGCAAAAATTTCCCAATCACAAAAATCTTTTATTACGGAATCAAATATTCAAAGTAAGAGTACAATTGAAGTGAGCAGTGAAAGTAAAATTCCTGTAAAAACTGAAAAACATGAAGAATTATGATTTATATTAGTGAGTAGAATTATACACAAATCACAAATTCAACAATAGAATTTTTATTTTATTTTATTTTATATTTTATTTTATTTTATATTTTTTTTTTATTTAAATTTTTTTTTTTACAAACCTTAATATAATCATATTATAAAAAATTATCAACATGATTATATGTTAAAAGAGTCTTAAATTAAAGGAAAAAGTATATTAAAAGTAGTAGTATACAATAATTTATAAAACTTACTTTTAGAATGTAAATGTAAATTAAAAAAACTACACATTAAAAAGAAATACATTCATTAGATATAAAAAAAATATTAAAATAATTTTAATATACATATTGTATACAATTTTAATAAGAATTATAATTACTAAAAATCTTTAAATTATATAATTTAAGGAAATATAAAGTTAAAAAATTTTTAAAATTTGGTATATTATATTAGTCAACCAAAATATCCTTTTCTCTAATTAATATAATATAAATTATTTTAATTTATGTATTGATAATGCATATAATTATATGTATTTCTATATGCATTTTTTAAAAAATATAAATTAAAAATGCAAATAAATAACTAAAGGAAGTTAGATTTAAATTACTACTGTAATTTAAGCCATTAAATTATAATGATACTTTTCTTTTTTTTCCATTTGGATTTGAAGTTTTAAATTATGTTTTTATTATATAAATTACATTTATTTCATTTTTATAAATACTTTTATTATTAAGTTTAGATAATTTTCTAAAGGATTTTTGTATTTTACAACTTCTAAAAATTTTTTTTTAAACCACTTAATTATAGGATTTTCAAATTATTTAGCATTTTTTTAGTTAAGTTTTAAATTAATCAAATCTTAAAATTGATTACTGATTGCTTTTTTAATTTAGATTTTATTTTTTCTGATCTTTTTATATATACTAAAGTTCTATTAATAAACCTATTATTTAATATAATTAAATGTAATCTTTTAAATGAAAAAAACTATATTAACTTCCAATTTTAAATAAATATATATATAAATAAATATAATTATATATATAAAAATTTGTAAAAGATTATAATGTAAAATATGTTTAATTAATAAGCATTTTTAAAAATAAGTATTCCTGGCCAGAATTATAAGAATTTTAGCTAAAAACAGGATGCTTATATATCACAAAATATGGTATATATTTTATTAATTATTTTATTAAATTATATAATTTATATATATATATATATAAATTTTACATATATTTATTATAATATAAATAAAAAAATAATTTATTCAATTTGACCTAAAATATTTAAATTGTACATATCATTAAATTCATAATTTATACTTTTGGTCAAAAAAATATTTCAGTATTTTTTATATTAAATTATAAGAAAAAATGCCAACCCATGTTTTTTACAATTATTTTATAAAGAAAAACTATTTTAGCATTTTTTTATATTTTAAATTTTAATAAAAATGCTAAAACATTTTTTATTAAATCAAAATAAATATGTTAATATTTAACTAAAAAATATTTTTTAATTAAAAATATTAAATTTGAGTTTTACTATTTTATTTTTAATGATAAAATATCAAATTGATATTTTTTAATTAAAAAACATTTTTATTTATTTTTTAATGAAAAAATATCAGATTTAACATTTTTAATTAAAAAAAATAATTATTTTTTTAATAAAAAAATACCAGATTTAAGTCAAAAAAAATGTAGATATATTTTTATATATAAATAATAAATTATAATAAAAAATGCAAAAATGTTTTTTAATCTAAGGTTAAATATCTGATTGTCAGAAGGTCACTTGATTTTATCTAATCTGATTCAAAATTTTAAATATAAGACTAATGATTAGTATAATTATACTTATAATTAATAAAGTAATTATAAAAGAAATATTTTATATATAAAAAATTAAAACCAAAAAATATATTTTAAAAAAGAGAATTTTTATATAAAAAGTATTTATAAAGAGAATTAACTATCATATATATTTAAAATATATAATTTAAAAATTATACAGTATATATATTTTAAAGTTTTAAATTTGATTTTAATTAATTTTTTTAAAAATATAATAATATTTAAAATTGATATTTAGTTGTTAATTACAATTATATTTCTAGTAGTATTGCAAATATCTAAAAGTATATATATAAAAAATTTAAGATATTTAAAAATTTTAAATTAAAATTTGTAATATTAATAATTTTAAGTATTTTTAAAGGCAATTTCTATTCGTACACGGGTGTCTTAAACACGGCATCACATGATTAATAAAAAATTGATTTTTTCAGGCGTTTAAACATGTATCACGTGATAATATTTTCATTGTGCGCAAAATTTTTTTTTATTATTTTTATTATAAAATTTAAATGCACATACATGCATATACATACTATTAAAAGTGCGCATACATGCTATAATCTAACAACTATTTTGACATGTCTTCGCATAATGTCCATATTGCTTGCACTTTCCACATTTTCGCCCTTTTGTATTATTTGTTTCCTCTTCTACTATAACGTTGTCTGTTATCATATTAACCTTTGTACTATCCTTTAAAACCCGTTTTCCCAAAGTTTCTACACTAGATTTAAACCTTTTTGGAGGTCGTCCTTTATGTTTAGTAATAGCAGGATTATTAATATCAGTAAAGGTTTCTTGAGTTTCTTGAATTTCAACATTCTTATTATGTGTATCATAGATAAAAGACTTGAGTAAATTCATCAACTCATGTTGCATATTGGCTTTAAGTGCACAATCAATAGCTTTCTTTGATAACCCAAACAATTCTGCATAAATAGCTTTAGTTGATTTTATAGCCAAATTGGAAACATGTGAATCAACCCGAAATGAAAAAAAGTGTTGAAAGGTAATACTTTTTTCCATTCCTACTCTATCTTCTGTTTGTGTACCACATACTGAAATAGGAGAAAGATTATCTAACTGAATATTGATATCTAGGTACCATCGGCTTGGAATAATATTCATGTGAAATGCCGCATGTTGAGAATAAGTACCAACTCGAAAAAAATGCCGGCATATTAATCCTTTATTGATCAAGAGAAGGCAAGTGCATAAATGTGTTCCTTCATCAAGCAGAACCACATAATGACCAATTCCTTGAGTTCCAGTTGCTCGGACAAACCATACTTCT